ATCACTCAAAATTTGATAGCTAGAATGAAGTTATACAATAAAAATATGCAATTTGTACGTAATAATTACTGTGATCTACGAATTAAGTTATTTTTGTACTCAAATTTTAATTGATAAAAATAGTATTCGCATTCAGAAGGAAACCATTTTAAGAAATAACAGTGAGTAGAGGCAAAATTCAGCGGCAAAGTTTAATTTTCATTTTGAATATAAAATATACGAAAATAATATTTGCATATTTTGTATTCATAACAAAAATAAATCATAGTCTGGTAGATTTTTTTGCTAAATCTTATTACTAAAAGTAGTCTTATCATGAAGATTTGTAAATGTAAGCTACAAAAGTTCGTCGTTTGACGTGAAAAAAGTTTTGTAAATGTATTTTACAGCCCACAAAAGTTAAAATTATCCTTTAATGTGTCACGTAAAAATTTTGTACACCTATTTGCAAATAAAAATTTAGCTACGTTTATATCTGTGACTTGATTCAAATCTTTATATACGTATAATGCAGGAATTTAATGAGCATTCAGGTTGATAGGTATAAGTGGTGTATTTTGCTTTAGAATTCCATGCTTCTTATCAGTTTTAATTTCAATTTCAAGTATTATTATTAATTTCAGTTTTGACGTAAACATTGCTGAAGTGCAAAAGTTGTTCAAGCAAGTTAATAAACACAGCGATAATATATTTTGCATATACAATCATTGGGAGAATGTTGATGAGGAAATGACTTTTATGAACCGAAAATTTTTATTATTATTATTTAGTATTTAAATTTAAATACTTTTCAAGTTTATTATAAAATTCAAGCAAAAATTAAACTTTTTTATTTACTATTTTGACTAAAATTTAAAAACGAATAAATTACGTGTAAAAATTATTCGTAAGCTTTTTTCACTTTACAAATTTTAGTGATTGTTTTGATTAAATTAAAAGTTTTTGATTCGGAAAGCCTAAAATTTCAGTTTGTATTCGAAGAAATAAAAATTATAATGTCTGTGAGAAAAAAAAGTGAAATTTCAACAATTTGCTGAAAATCTTTAAAAATCATCATAAATTGCAATATAGTGATTTTCATAAATCATTAAATACTACAGTAATAATAACCAGAAAAATTCGTATTCTTTAGGTCTACAAAAAAGTAGCACTTAATTCGAATAAATTTGAATTTAGCAAACGAAATTTATCACTTTTAGTTTTTAGATATAATATAGCACAAAAATATTAAATTTTTATTTGAATTCGAATTTATATAATATTGCTTAACAGCTGATTAGCTTCACAGCATTCAATAATAATAGAATTTTACAATCAGAATCCTCCAAAGCAATTCATAACCAGTGAAGGCATAATAATTATATTTTAATAAATAACATAATTGCTTTTAATATCGTAATACCTTTTTGAAAACTGTATAAGTATAATTAATACTTGCTATGTAAAAAGTTTGAACGACATAATTTGATAAGCCAAACTTGGCGAGTATTTAATTATAATTAAAAAATACTATTTCATTATTTCTAATATTAGTGATGTAAGAAGTTATTATTTGTGAGCAATTAATTTTGAAAATATTTGAAAAGTTTAGAAAGTATTCTGTTAATTACATATATATTCAGTATTTAATATTTTTTAAATTGATTTTTTAATAATTAATAAGTATTAAAATTATTAGAAAGCTAGCATTTTTCTTCCATTTCTTCAAAATTATTAAGTTTTTATTTTTATTTTTCAAAAATTTAATTATTTTTGTTTTGCAATTCTTATTTAAAAATTATTTAATAAAAAATCATTGCGCAAATTTTTTTTTACTTTTTATATTTTACAAATGAAAATCTTCAAAGTAAACTGGAAAAATCATTCAATTTAGTATTTTTTTGTGCTATTTTTATTCAACAAAATAAAAGTAAAGTATTTAGTTGAACGACCGTAAATTTGTAATCACAAAAATACTTGCCACAGAATTTTTCCTCCTAAGAAATGACATTAGGTAAAATTACAGTTGTGGTAAATTATAGTACGATAGAATGAAGAATTAAAAGTTGAAAAGTATACTGTAAATAGCTGAAAAATTAACACTAAAAGCACATTCCATTCATTTATTATCAAAAATAAAATAAAATAAAATAAAATTTAAAATTAATATTTATTTTTTATTGTGCATTATTGTAATTTCAAAAAAAATGCTGCAATAAATTAATTAATTTTTGCGCACAAAAAATATTCGCATCTTTCCAATTTATTTTTGCAATTACTAATAAAAAAAGTCATTCTTTTGCATTAAATATTTTCAAATTACACAAAAGAAAATAAATGGAAAATAAAATTTGTATTTTTTTGAAAGGAATTTGCATTTGCACTGCAATGACAATTTTCATTAAAAATTACTCGTAAAATTATAATTATTTTGAGTACAATTTGCATACTTTACTTCGTTCTCAAGTACAGTACTTACAGAATTTATTACATAATTGAATGTTAATTTGACCTTTGCTCAATGCCAATGCAACTGAATGTTAATTTGACCTCTGCTCAATGCCAAAAGTAGTCCGAAATTTAATTGCAATTAATAATTGTGTATTTTGAATAAAAATTATTCATCAAAAGAAAGCAAACAAAGTGTACATTTTACAATTATCAATTTATCGCTAAAATGATAAAATGAAAAATGAAAAAATATGAAGAATATAAGGTTTTTTTAAACTTATTATTGGTTATTCTCAAAAATAAATTATTATTGCAGAAATGGATGTATTATATTGAAAAAAAAACCTTTTATATTTAGTATTTCAATTTTAAATGTTTATATTTAGTATTTAAATCCTAAATGTTATAAAATTCAAAGTTTTATAAAAATTGCTATCATTTTGATAAATGTATGTTTAGTATTTGAGTTTTAAATTTATTTTGCTCTTAAATCAATAATATAAAATTGCTTACTAAATAAAAGATTTATATTGATGTAAATAAAATTATATTTATGTAAAAAAACAGTATATTATATATTTAAGGGAATTGAAAAGTTGAAAAATATAAAATATTTTAATCATAAAATTATTAAGTTTTATATTTTAAAAAATTGGACACTAGGTGCTGCAAAAAAAGATTATAAGTGATTTTTAGTGCTAAAATTTTTACACAAATAATATTGAAACTAAAATTAAAAAATTTAAATTAGTACTAAATACATTCATTAATTAACGCAGAAAAAATTTTTGCAAAGATTATACAAAAGAAATTACGTAAAAAATACTGAACTTTTGTAAAATGGCACTTACGCATTGGCCTGAATCTATGACTAAATTAGTTCTAGGTTGTACTGAAATATTCGAATTATACGTTGAAAATTTACGTGGCAATAATACGTCGTAATTATACGTCATTTACTTAAAATTATAATCTGTAATTTTTATTTTTTGCCGTGTAAAAAAGTAATGCTGACAATTTTGGTTGATCAAAACATATATGATTGAAAACTTTCAAAGTTTTTGGCACAAACAAGATTTAAGAGTGTTGAAGAGTGACTGACTATTTTTGCAATGAATTTTGAATGAAAATAAAATTGAAAGGTTTCAAGCATCAAAGTGGCAATAAATTTTATAGCACTTTATATTCAATTTTTTGTAAATACAAAAATTAATACTTTTTTAATTAAAATATTTCGTAATACTTTTCAAATTTTAAATTCATTAAAATATATAATATGCTGTATTATTTTTTAACTCACTGAATCGCACAAAAAATATGTTACTGAATTTTAAAATATTTTATCAGACAAAAATTAATGCTATATGACATGTTTATTTTGATCGAAGGTAAATCAATAAATTTTGTAAATTTTACTCAGTAATATGAGTAAGTAATAATTTTAAACCGGAAGTCATTCGTAGTGGTATGATATAGCTCACAAAGTATTACGTACTTTAAGAGTCATCATATTTTTCACGCATTCTTAAAATTCTTTACACGTTATTATCAGATATCTATCTTGCATATCGCTATTTTAGGCATTGATTTCCAGGATTTATAAAGTTTGTAGACAAAAATTTTTGAGAAGTATATTCATTAAGAAATACGTGACCAATTATGCGTAAAAAACAGTCAGAAAAACACGTACTTAAAGGTAAAAGACAATACAACGTGACACTTTCAACTATAAATTTTGTTTTGTACAAAAATTTTATTAGTTCTCATCAAATTTCATGATGTTTATTACCACTTTTTTTAAAATTGAGATTGACAATTTTTTAATTTAACTTAAAATTATAAATTTTCTTACATAAAAGCAAAATTTTTAAGTAATGAAATTAATTTCATATTTTTTTATATTTTGTCATCGCAACATTTCATAAATGTTATGTTTGAATAAAATTGACAACTTTTATTTGCCTAAACTT